TCCTTCAAACTCATTGAAAGGTCCAGTGTGAGCTGCACAGTTAGGTTAAATCTAAGTGAATATTTGGCTTGACTTTTAATTCCATCTTTATTCTCCACCAGTCCTTCCATTTCCCTGAGCCTTAATCAGGTAATAGCTTTAAATGTGTGTGTGCATTAAGTATCATATCTAAAGTTTCTGAACCTAAATCATATTTCTCACACAACTGCAGCTGTGTCCACAATGGCAGTGTTGGTTTAAATTGCCAGAAATGTTATTTTGGTGGGGTGGGGACCGAGTGTTTTAAATATGATTGTACAGCTGTCAGTATTACTGTGTTACTGGGAATTAAGCCTTTAAAAATATGTTTAATCATAACTTTCAGTGACTGAGAAGTTGGTTCAATGGGGAGGAATGGAGTTAGGAGGAGAATGAAACCTGAAATGCAAAGGGAATAAAAAACTTCATAAGCCTTAAAAAACCCAGGAGCAAATAGCAAACAGACAGACCATGGTTTTTCAAAAATTCAGAAAATAACTAATCCAGAGGATCAGGCACAGTTAGAAGCTTGCATAAAGACATATATTAACACGAAACCAACAAAATCTGGAAAACTTGCTGTGGGAACAAAGACTGGCCCAAGCATCCCCTGTGATTAGTGCAAGGCTGTGATAGCGAGGTGAAGCCATGGGCTCAGGGCTGTGCCCAAGGCTGGTGAACAGGGAGCACTGAGCACCTGTAAATCACAAAGAAAACAAAACATCAGGGATCTGGGCTCCAGGCACAGGCTCAGAGCTCAGCACGTTCCCACTGAAGGCCAAGGTCATTTAACATTTGGGAGGCAAAGTGGCTGCTCCAGCCATGAGCATCATGTGCAGTTCCCAGCAGTTTCCAAAGGTGCCGATCAGCACGCAGCTGGCACCTGCCCCTCACCTGCAGATCCTGCAGGTCCTGCTGCTCTTGGCAGGGAGGGGTGTGTGCATGGATGCCTTGCATAGGTACATGCACAAACCCAGCTACCATATGGGAAAGGAGCAGGAAAAGGACAAGGTCTTGGCTCTGTTGAGAGCTGGTAAGTGTGACACCAGTGCCAATAAATGGAGAGGGGACACACGAGTACAAGGGGGTCTGAGGCTCCATGTGTAGGGCATGAGCAGGAGGTTCATGGTGGCGGTGGGGAGCTTTGAGTCAAGTGAACTCGCTGCTAATCCTCTTGCAAACAGCCTTCCTTGAGGGAGGAGATCTCATGACTCCAGGGAGAAGTACATTGTGTAACTAAGCAATGGTGAACCCAAGCTCCATTTAACAAGGCTTGGCACAGGTGCAACAGAGTAGGATACTCACCCCAAGAGAGCGTGAGAGAGAGCATCTCAGTGCATCACCCGCCGGCTTAGAGTCCTTAAAAGCCCTGTGTGGCTTTGGGAGAGGAGCTCAAGTAGAGGGGGGAAAAAAAGAAAAGGAAAAGAAAAACAAAAAAGCCCGTAACTCCCCAGAAAGCAGCTCCCTGCACTGGGTATCCCTGCACTTGTGTGGAAATGTTGCATAATGTCCCTTTGCACCACAGAGAGCTTTGAAATCTGCAGGATCAAAGCTGTATGGAGACACTATGGATGTGCCAAGACAAATTTAAAGGCATTTCACAATTACAGCAAGAAGCACAAAGCCACACTCCAGGATCCTCTTGCTGTATCACTGTGACATCTAGTGGCAGTGGCATTGGAGAACAGAACAGGAATGGTGTTCCTTGTTTTAGGCCTGTCCCTGCACTCACCTCCCGAGTAGCTTTTCCGCATCTGTCTGAGGGTTGTCTTGTATTATTTTGGAAAAAGCTCTTGTGCCACTAATCCTATGGGGTTTTTACAGATGTAAAACAATCGGGATTTAAAGTTTTCACAGTGTGCTTCCTAGAATGTATCACTAGCTCTCCACTTGTGTGTGCCTTGTCTTTGTTTCACAGCTTTATGGCACAGACACTGAAAAATTACAAAAGAGCACATAGGTTAATGAGTGATCATTTAAGATGCCTTCACTGAAAAAGCAAATGAGTTAAAATGTAAATATTCAGGTCACAGTAGTGTCCAGTTAAGGGCTGGACTTCCAGGTCTCTAAGATTTGAATTTGCCTTTGTCATCAGGTAAATCTTTTTTGCAAACCATTCTCCAAATCCAGTGTTTTTCATACAGTTTGTTGAGTCTTTTTGTAGCAGCTGGGCAAAATTTTTGTTCAACCTCTTGCATGGGATCAAAAACATGTGATCTGGTGTGAAAAACTTGCCACTGAGCCACCTGTAACCTTTGCCACAGTAGTTAAAAATGTCACTGCTTACTTTTTGCTCCTGCTTTCATGAGGGTAGTTTGCAGGTAGTTTGCTGCATCTCTTTTAGAGAAACATTTGGCCTGTGGGCCTCTGCCTCTCCTGACTGATTAAAAGGAAGATGAGCATTTGTGCTTTGAAGCTTCATTTATATGGAGAGATATTCGGGAACTGTTTGGATGGTGATGCTGCAAGTGTCATGTTCACCTAATGGTTGTAACTACCAGAGAAGGAACAGCAGAGCAAAGCAACAGCAACTCAAGCCCTAAATTGAACGGTAGGTTAGAACAATGTCACTAATAAGAAAAGTAAGCAACAAAAGAGAGGCAATGGAAAAAAAAATCTTAGTGAAAATTGCTCTTTGGTGGCAGACACTGATGCCAAAACAGAAAGCCTGGAGTTAAACGAGCTCCCCAACACATGCCACAGTGATTTAATTAAGAGTGTGAGCAACACACTGGAGAGGGAAGGGCTGGGAACTGGAGGTGCCAAGGCTGGAAGTGTATGGGGAAAGCCATGGATTTGAACCCATGCTTGTGGTCCTTTCCCAGCCCATGGCAGCCTCACACCTTGAAGGCAGGAGCCAGGCTGCTGGCTAAAAAACACCCCAAGAAGGGCAAGGCCACCGTTGAATTTGCAGGCAGCCCCAACATGGGAAGAGATGAGGATCTTGACTCCATGTTTCAGAAGGCTGATTTATTATTTTATGATATATATTAAAAGAAAATTATATATTAGAATATACTAAAAGAAGAAAGGATTTCATCAGAAGGCTAACAAGGAATAGAAAGCAAGGAAATTATAATAAAATCTTGTGACTGACCAGAGAGTCCAAGACAGCTGGACTGTGATTGGCCATTAATTAAAAACAACCACATGAATCCAATCAAAGATGCCCTATTGCATTCCACAGCAGTAGATAATCATTGTTTACATTTCATTCCTGAGGCCTCTCATCTTGTCAGGAGAAAAATCCTAGCAAAAGGATTTTTCATAAAATATGTCCATGACAGGCCACAGTGATAGATAATGGGCTGGACTTAAAGACCTTGGAGGTCTTTTCCAACCTAAATAATACTATAAGGTGCTTTTGCCTGCAGGCAGTTTTTACCTGCAGCTTTTTCCCTCTTCTTAAGTGCTCTCTCCCCTCAAGCCCCCACACATGGCTCAGGATGTCACGGAGGGTAGGATGAACCCATCAGAGGAAACACTCCAGTCTTGGATTTTCACCTTGCCCAGGCCCCCATCTCAGTGCCTGAGGTGGGAGGGCCCATAGAATCACAGAATCATTGGGGTTGGAAAGGACCTCGGGAGATCATCCAGTCCAACACCCTGCTACGGCAGGTTCGTCTGGAGGAGGTGACACAGGAATGTGTCCAGGTGGGTTTGGAATGTCTCCAGAGAAGGAGACTACACAGCCTCTGTGGGCAGCTGTTCCAGAGCTCTATCACCCTTAATATAAAGGAGTTCTTCCTAGTGTTGAGCTGGACACCAATGAAAAGAGTCTGACAGCATCCTCTGACACTCCTTGGATATATTTGAATGCATTGATGCGATCCCCTCTCAGTCTTCTCCAGACCAAAGAGGCCCAGCTCTCGCAATGTCTGTGCATCAGAGAGATGCTCCAGACCCCTCATCATCTTTGTGGCCTTTGCTGGACCCTCTCCAGCGAAGAGAGGGTCCAGGGAAGGCCACAAAAATGGCCTGTGCTGAGGAGCCCAGAACCGGACACAGAACTCCAGAACAGGGCCGTTCTTTCCCGTGCTGAGGAGCCCAGAACCGGACAGAGAACACCAGAACAGGGCCGTTCTTTCCCGTGCTGAGGAGCCCAGAACCGGACAGAGAACACCAGAACAGGGCCGTTCCCTGCCCGGGGCA